AAGAGTTTTTACGAGGAATAGGATGGGCCCAATGAAAGGAGGATTTAGGAAAGAGGGGATTTATTTCCAGTAAAATAAGTGAAAAGGATTTGATGGTCAAAACCGTGGATATGTTTAAAATTTATAAGGGGAAAATGGGGTTTGGTAAGGGGAAGGGGGTAAATGCGAAGAGTTTTTAGCGGGGAGGTGGAAGTAAAAGAAAAGAAATTACACACAAAGTAGGCTTGTAAAGGGTTGTTGATGTCACCGTGGTTGTTAATATATTAAAGATTGGGTGAGGAAAATAAATGAGGGTTGGCAAAGGGAAGAAAAGAAAAAGGGAATACACACAAAGTAGGTCACGTGGATAACAAAAAGATTAGGTGATGAAAGATTGGATATCAGATGGAGGGAGAGAATATGGAGGAGGTGAATGTATTCAGATATTTGGGAGGGGGACGTGTCAGCGGATGGGTCTATGAAAGATGAAGTGAATCATAGAATTGATGAGGGGAAAAGGGGAGTGGTGCACTTAGGAGTCTGTGGAGACAAAGAACTTTGTCCTTGGAGGCAAAGAGGGGAATGTATGAGAGTATAGTTTTACCAACGCTCTTATATGGTGTGAAGCGTGGGTGATGAATGTTGCAGCGAGGAGAAGGGAGGCAGTGGAGATGTCATGTCTGAGGGCAATGTGTGGTGTGAATATAATGCAGAGAATTCGTAGTTTGGAAGTTAGGAGGAGGTGCGGGATTACCAAAACTGTTGTCCAGAGGGCTGAGGAAGGGTTGTTGAGGTGGTTCGGACATGTAGAGAGAATGGAGCGAAACAGAATGACTTCAAGAGTGTATCAGTCTGTAGTGGAAGGAAGGCGGGGTAGGGGTCGGCCTAGGAAAGGTTGGAGGGAGGGGGTAAAGGAGGTTTTGTGTGCGAGGGGCTTGGACTTCCAGCAGGCATCCCGTGAGCGTGTTTGATAGGAGTGAATGGAGACAAATGGTTTTTAATACTTGACGTGCTGTTGAAGTGTGAGCAAAGTAACATTTATGAAGGGGTTCAGGGAAACCGGCAGGCCGGACTTGAGTCCTGGAGATGGGAAGTACAGTGCCTGCACTCTGAAGGAGGGGTGTAAATGTTGCAGTTTAAAAACTGTAGTGTAAAGCACCCTTCTGGCAAGACAGTGATGGAGTGAATGATGGTGAAAGTTTTTCTTTTTCGGGCCACCCTGCCTTGGTGGGAATCGGCCAGTGTGATGATAATAAAAAAATGTATGTTTAGTGTGACCTAAGTGTAAGTAGAAGTAGCAAGACGTACCTGTAATCTTGCATATTTATGAGACAGACAAAAGACACCAGCAATAGTACCATCATGTAAAACAATTACAGGCTTTCGTTTTACACTCACTTGGCAGAACGGTAGTACCTCCCTGGGTGGTTGCTGTCTACCAACCACTAAATATTACCCTGCTCACCCTCCAACAGCTCGTCAGGTCCCAAAAACCATTTATCTCCATTCACTCCTATCTAACACGCTCATGCATACTTGCTGGAAGTCCAAGCCTCTCGCCCACAAAACCTCCTTTACCCCTGTCCCTCCCACCTTTTTGAGGATGACCCCTAACCCACTTTCCTTCCCCTTACAGATTTATACGCTCTCCATGTCATTCTACTTTGAACCATTCTCAACAACCCCTCTTCAGCCCTCTGACTAATACTTTTATTAACTCCACACCCCCTCCTAATTTCCACACTCCGAATTCTCTGCACAATATTTACACCACACATTGCCCTTAGACAGGACATCACTGCCTCCAACAACCTCCTCGCTGCAGCATTTACAACCCAAGCTTCACACCCATATAAGAGAGTTGGTACCACTATACTTTCATACATTCCCTTCTTTACCTCTATAGATAATGTTTTTTATCTCCACAGATACCTCGATCCTAGGTAGTAGGTTGGTAGACAGCAACCGCCCAGGGAGGTACTACCGTCCTGCCAAGCGAGTGTAAAACGAAAACCTGTAATTGTTTTACATGATGGTAAGATTGCTGGTGTCCTTTTTCCGGTCTCATAAACATGCAAGATTTCAGGCACGTCTTGCTACTTCTACTTACACTTAGATCACACTACACATACATGTACAAGCATATATATACACACCCCTCTGGGTATTCTTCTATTTTCTTTCTGGTTCTTGTTCTTGTTTATTTCCTCTTATCTCCATGGGGAAGTGGAACAGAATTCTTCCTCCGTAAGCCATGCGTGTTGTAAGAGGCAACTATAATGCCGGGAGCAAGGGGCTAGTAACCCCTTCTCCCGTATAAATTACTAAATTTAAAAGAGAAACTTTCGTTTTTCTTTTTGGGCCACCCTGCCTTAGTGGGATACAGCCGGTGTGTTGAAAGAAGAAAGAAGATACCTCAATGCACCAGTCACCTTTTTTCCTTCATCAATTCTATGGTTAACCTCATCCTTCATAAACCCATCCGCTGACACGTCAACTCCCAAATATCTGAAAACATTCATTTCCTCCATACTCCCTCTCTCCAATATATCTAATTTTCCTTTATCTAAATCATTTGATACACTCATTACCCTCCTCTTATCTATATTCACTTTCAACTTTCTACTTATACACACCCTCCCAAACTTGTCCACTAACCTTTGCAACTTTTCTTTAGAATCTCCCATAAGTACAGTATCATCAGCAAAAAGTAAGTGTGTCAATTCCCATTTTGTACTTGATCCCCCACAATTTAATCCCATCCCTCTCCCTAACACCCTAGCATTTACTTCTTTTACAACCCCATCTATAAATATATTAAACAACCATGGTGACATTACACATCCCTCTCTAAGACCTACTTTTACCGGAAAGTAATCTCCCTCTCTCCTATACACCCTAACCTGAGCCTCACTATCATCATAAAAACTCTTTACAGCATTTAGTAACTTACTACCTATTCCATACACTTGCAACATCTGCCACACTGCTCCCCAATCTACTATCATATACCTTTTCTAAATCCATAAATGCAATGAAAACTTCCCTACCTTTATCTAAATACCGTTCACATATATGCTTCAATGTAAACACTTGATCTACACATCCCCTACCCACTCTGAACCCTCCTTGCTCATCTGCAATCTTACCCTCTGTCTTACCTCTAATTCTCTCAATAACCCTTCCATACACTTTTCCTGGTATACTTAGTAAACTTATTCCCCCTATAATTTTTACACTCTCTCTTCTCCCCCTTCCCTTTATATAAAGGAATTATACATGCTCTCTGCCAATCCCTAGGTACCTTCCCCTCTTTCATACATTTATTAAACAAAAATACCAACCACTCCAACACTATATCCCCCCATGCTATTACCATTTCTGTCATGATCCCATCAGTTCCAGCTGCTTTACCCCCTTTCGTTCTATGTAATGCTTCACGCACCTCCGCCACACTCACATCCTGCTCTTCTTCACTCCTTAAAAAGTTATACCTCCCTGGCTAGTGCATGAAATGACCGTCTCCCTTTCTTCATCGACATTTAAAAGTTGCACAAAATATTCCCGCCATCTACCCAATACCTCAAGCTCCCCATCTACTAACTCCCCTACTCTGTTTTTAACTGACAATTCCATTCATTCCCTAGGCTTTCTTAACTTGTTTATCTCACTCCAAAATTTTTTCCTATTTTATGCAAAATTTCTTGACAGTACCTCTCCCACTCTATCATCTGCTCTCCTTTTGCACTCTCTTCACCTTTCTTTTACTGTCCATATATTCTGCTCTTCTTATAACACTTCTGCTTTGCAGAAATCTCTCATAAGCTATCTTTTCCTCTTTTATCACACCTTTTAATTAATCATTCCACCAATCACTCCTCTTTCCTCCTGCACCCACCCTCCTATAACCACAAACTTCTGCCCCACATTCTAATACTGCATTTTTAAAACTGTTCCAGCCCTCTTCATCCTCCCCACTACTCATATTTGCACTAGCCCATCTTTCTGCCAATAGTTATTTATATCTCACCCTAACTTCCTCCTCCCTTAGTTTATACACTTTCACCTCTCTCTTATTGCTGCTGCCATTTTCTTTTTGTCCCATCTACCTCTTACTCTAACTGTAGCTACTACTAAATAATAATGCAATACATCAGTTGTCCCTTAATAAACATGTACATCCTGAAGCCTACACATCAACCTTTTATCCACCAATACATAACTTGTACAATATGTATATATATTTAATCAAATATGGGATTCCCTTAGAACCAATGACAAGGAAAATTTACTGTGTATCAATTTATTCTTAGTTTTAAGAAAAACAAGAGCTGGGAATATACATTTCTAAGGTATTACTGAAAATAATTCATTATGTAATGTATCTAAGATAGTACACAATAAACATTAATAAATCTTGGAAAGTTTAATAAAAAGACAGTACAGTATAGGGTGGATTACCATTATCTGTGTATGGTATAAGAAATACCAATATTGAATACATTGGTTGGTTACATCTTTAAAGACTTTTGGCAGAAGCATTCAGATGTTGAAATTCACTAATTGATTGTTTTCCAGTGTCATAACTTTGCAAGAATGCCTTCTGAGGCAGCAGCCCTTGCAACATTGTTGATATCAGAAGTGATCTCAGTGTTATTATATATTTTTAGTGAGTTGCAAAACTTTAAAATTAAACTTTTTTTATATTCAGATTTTAGAACATGTCACATTATAAGGTAGCTATAATGAATTGAACAAGCAAAGGTAAAGTTGTTAAAAATTTCATTATACCACAGATAAATCTTCTTTGGGCTTAAAAACAAATTTATGAAACATTCATCACAAATTTCTTAGTAATCACTCCATTTTTTGATGCAAGTGTTAAAATGAGATTTTTCCGGTACTGACAAGCTGTGCTGGAAGCATGTATGTACACTATCTTTGTACATATAGAAACACTGCCCTGTGTATTTCCTTACACAAACCATACACGAAGTGAAAAAAAAAAAGAAAGGCCTGACCTGAAGATGATGTTGACACATGCTGAGCTGGTGAAGCTTGTCTTCCAGTTCTCGCTGTTTTTCTTCCACCAGCTTCTGTTGGCTGCTCAGATCTCCAAGAAGCTTTTCATTTTGCTTTGACAACTACAAAAAAAAAAAATGAATATCAAATTCTTACAAAGAACATATACATTTTTTTTCTGATCTATGAGTTTAGTCATAAAATTTAAATACTACAATTCATATATAGTATATTTAAGATAATATATTTCTAATGGATACATAGACCATAATAGATATGGATTAATTCTGAAAACTAAAGTCTAAACTAAAAAGTATATTTAACCATTAAGGGTTAAATATGTGACTGCACCAAATACGTACACAATCACTCCTAATTTAGCAAATACAGAGAATTTGCCGTCATGTAACTCCAATCAGCTGTCTTACCATGCTGGTGGGCAAAATTGCCATTTTCTTCCAATATTTTATTTATTTCATGGAAGGAGTGCTAAACTCATTAAAGCCATACAGTACCTTGGGGAATGGGAGGTGTATTCAGGGTAGATTTAAGGAAAGGGGGATAACCTACAGTTTCATGCATCAAGAGCCCCCTCACTTGCATCCTTTTAATAGCCATTGAGATATAGCTATCAAGTTAAGATTTACATAAGAGTTAAGCAATACAGATCTCATTAGTATACATAAAAAATGTAACCCAAGTCATTATTATGCAGTACAGTTGTAACAAACCCCTCGAAGAAGATACCTCGATGCTGGCGAGCAACTCTTGATACAAGGAATTGGACCTATCCTCCTTTCCTCTGATCAAACCTGATTGCCTTTCCTTCTATGGCTTTAGCATTTTCCCATAATTGTGGTAATAATAATTATCTATAGCAATTTAGTTTCTATGGAGATGCTAATCACATGAAATATAATGTGTGGACAGAAATATGGGAACACATTAAAATATATGTTTGGTTTATCTCATTATGATGTGTTAATTCAATCACTGTATTTTACTCTAACTTTTTGAACAGTGTAACTTTCCCAAATAAAAGCCCCTGTAAATCATTTTGTAAATAATGATGATAATACACAGTACTGTGCTGAATGTTGTGATTTTTATTTTCTAACAGAATGAACCAGTAAGGCAGAGGAAGACCTTGGTCAAATGATGAAAAGCTCTACTGAGTAGGTCATCATATGACTAAGTTCCACATCAGGAGGAATTTTCCTGTTTCTCCTGACAAACAAAATATCCCCCTCCTTTCTGAATAAAATGCTGAATAAACTGATGGCAAAAATGTTATAATTTTGACTTAGGAGACAAATATTCCATACCTTGTTAACTTTGTCATGAAGGATACTTTCATTGGTGCATACCATCACCATTCCGTCCTCACTATCATCCATCCCACACACACCATTCATGCCCATGCTCCCCAACTGCTGAAGCTGGAATGGTGTTGATACTCCCACGATGTGACTTTCGTGTGTGACATAACAGAATTGGAAGAACTCGCCAGCATCTTTAGGCAAGCAACTTGCTGTTGAAAAGCAAAAGAAAAAAGTTCCAATAAATAGTGCACCAAAAAAGCTCTAAAACAAAAAACCACTTATAATAATGCACCAAGAAGGTTCTAAAATGAACTTACAGTCTTCAAATGGGAAGAAATGGATTTAGCATTTAAAAAACAAAAGTGGAGATGTTAGATGGGAAAGAAGAGGACTTGGGAAGATGGAGGAAATATTTTAAGTAACTCTTAAATGTTGATGAAGAAAGGGAAGCATTGTTTTTATGCATTGGTCAGGGAGGTATAACATAACATCTTGTAGGAAGGGCAGCCAAATTTGAGTGTGGAAGAGGTGCATGAGGCAGTGAGCAGTATTAACCCTTTCAGGGTCCAAGGCCCAAATCTGGAGTCACGCACCATGTCCAAGAATTTTCAAAAAAAAAATTTGTTATTTTTTCTTATGAAATCGTAGAGAATCTTTTTGTGAAGGTAATAAAACAAAAAGTACGAAATTTGGTGGAAAATTGACGAAATTATGCTCTCGCGAATTTTGATGTGTCAGCGATATTTACGAATCGGCGATTTTGCCGACTTTGACTCCCATTTTAGGCCAATTACATTATTCCATATCAACCAAATTCTAGCTATTTCACTAGTATACTTCTATTCTATCGATGAGAGCAAGAAATAGCCAAGTCAACTGTTTCAACTACAAAATAAAGTGATCGGAAATTGTTAATTTGGCCAATTTAACACAAAGTTCAAAATATTCCAATTTCAAAATAGGGTCCAGGATAAACAATGTATGCATTCCTGGCACTAAACTAACATTTCCTCTGTTCATTAGTCATGTTTTGAGGCTTTACAAATAAATTCCATTTTGATTTTTTATTCACACCAAAAAATAGAAGATTTACTGCTATGCAATACTGTAATAATTGTATAAATATCATCACCATATTTGTGAATGTATATTAGACCCACCAGCTGACGTGTATTAGACGTGTGAGGTCGTTTGTTTACTGTTGAATATCGGCAAAAATTTAACATTTCCGCTACTTTGAGCTCAGTTTCAAGCCATTTCCAGTGCTAAAACCAATCAAAATCATCTCTATTTCTGTAATATGTCTTCCATTCTATCAAATGAGACCAAGAAATCGCAAATACAACTATAAAAAACATACGAAAAAACACTGCAAAGTTGCTGTTTTAATCGAAAAATCATGATTTCAGTTTTTTTCTCTCATTATACACAGTGTGCTGCAGGATCTGTTTTATGTGGTGCACACATACCACATAGATGTATTCTCTCATATCTAGGCCCAAATGTACCACTCACAGTTTATCAGAGTGAGCTGAGCTCATGGCGTAGATCTACGGTTTGGACACTCACCATAAAGCCGTAGATCTACGGGACGGACCCTGAAAGGGTTAAAGGGAGTGAAGTATCTGTTTTTAACATCAGAGATGTTAAAAACAGGTAGGAATATAGTTTTGGAGTGGTTGGGTGTTTGCTCAATATATATACATGGAAAAGTTGCAAAGGTTAGTGGACAAGTTCGGGAGGGTGTGTACAGGTAGAAAGTTGAGAGTGAACATAGATAAGAGTAAGGTGATGAGGGTATCAATCAATTTAGATAAAGAAAAATTGGATATCACACTGGAGGGAGTATGGAAGAAGTGAATGTTTTCAGATATTTGAGAGATGACTTGTCAGTGGATGGGTTTATGAAGGATGAAGTAAACCACAGAACTGATGAAGAAAAAAAAAGGTGATTGGTACATCGAGGTATCTGTGGAGATAAAGAACATTATCCATGAAGGCAAAAAAGGGAGTGTATGGAAGTAAAGTGATACCAACACTATTATATGAGTATGAAGCATAGGTTGTTAATGTTGCAGCGAGGAGGCTGGAGGCAGTGGAGACGTCATGTATAAAGGCAATGTGTGGCATAAATACTATGCAGAGAATTCAAAGTGTGGAAATTAGGAGGACGTGTGGGGTTACTAAAAGTATTATTCGGAGGGCTGAGAAGCTGTTGAGGTGGTTTGGTCATTTAGAGAGGATGGAGAAATATAGGATGACTTGAGGGTGTATAAATCTGTAGTGAAGGGATGGAGGGGTAGGGGCTGTTCTAGGAAAGGATAGAGGGAGGGGGTAAAAGAGGTTTTGTGTGCAAGGGGCTTGGACATACAGCAGGCATGTGTAAGCGTGTTAGGTAGGAGTACAGACGGATGGTTTTTAGGACTTGAGCTGTTGGAGTATGAGCAGGATAATATTTTGTGAAGGGATTCAAGAATACCAGTTAGCCAGACTTCAGTCCTGGAGGTGGGAAGTACACTGCCTGCACTTTAAAAGAAGGGGTCGGGGATATTTGCACTCTGGAGTGATATCTGAACTGTTGTATTTGCGCGCCTCTGTAAAAACAGTTATTATTTGTGAACGATGGTGAAAGTGTTTCTTTCATTTTTGGGTCACCCTGCCTCGGTGGGAGACAGCCAGCATATTAAAAAAAATATCTGTCCAACCAATTTTTGAAGCTACCCAAGCTATTAGCTTGGATGACTCTACTAGGCAGTTTGTTCCACTCATCAATGACACTTCCAAGTCAACTAACATCAGCAACCAGCATCAATTTTAGCTACAGGTATATTAATATAAACTTCACTACATCCAACTAGGCCTAGTAGAGCCACATCATCCCTCTCCACACATTTCCAGATCAACAAGCACCAGCAACCACAATGTAAGTTACACTATGATAAAATTGGGTTACATCAATTACTATGTAAGCTATGAAATACTTCATTATTTTTAACATATTACAAAATTAAAAAATTGTTTGGGTGTTTCTAGGTGTCATGAGCATAACCCTAGTTTTCCCCAAAGTTAATCAGTCCTCACATCACTCTTTCACATAAGGTGCAGGCTTTCAGGAACGTAACACATATGAAATATGAGATTCTACTTTATAATACTGTACTTTGATTTGTTTCACAAAACTCCAGGAGTGCCTAAAACATTTTGCAGAGAAACCTACATGTCAGTTTGGGTATTGCAAAGGTGAAGCTGGAATCACTTGCCTCACAATGTTTCCCAATGTGAAGTGATTCCTGCTTCACCTTTGTATGAACTGAGTGGCTTCAGCAAATACATGAGAAAATACATGTATGCACAAGAATACAGAAACGTATAAAGAAAAAATTTATAATAAAATATTTATTGACCAGAAAATAAAGAGATGTTGATGAAAGAAGTGATCAAGTGGCACTTAAGTGCATGCATAGCCAAGAAAAAAAGGAGGGGAAGGGGCCAACTGGTCCAACTACCCATTAACACCAAGGTGTCAGTTTTAAGATTAGCTAGAAGCATAACTACAATGACTAGAATACAAAAGTGTTTTAATCAACCATAAGCAAAACACAAATCTACAAAAATTAAGGATAATGTAATAAAATTATCAGAAATTTCCACACAAAAGTTAATGTCCAGGGTATACAACAAATAAATTATACACACAGCATATGTAAGTGAAAATTTACCTTTGAACACAACAGTGAGGGGTAAATGATTCTGGGTGTGGTCTTTACTAGGTGTTGGAGCCCACTGGTAACACAAATAGTCTTGGGGTGATCCAAACCCAACCCGATATAGAGCAACACGGTCTGATGACTTGGCTGTCACGCTAGGAGTCAATACATATGAAACAGCTATGTCAGTATCAGCCGTGTATGTTGCTTGAATGTTCTGGAAGAGAACCTGGAACAATAAAATAAATAAGTAAAAATAAATAAGTAAAAAGGGATATGTTGTGTATCTTTATACGTATATGCTTATAAGCTGTTATATTCTGAGCACCTCTGCAAAAGCAGTGATAATGTGTGAGTGTGGTGAAAGTGTTGAATGATGATGAAAGTATTTTCTTTTTGGGGATTTTCTTTCTTTTTTTGGGTCACCCTGCCTCGGTGGGAGACGACCGACTTGTTGAAAAAAAAAAAAAATACTATCTCTTTAAACATCATTGCAATTGTTTCAGGTAAATCTCTATCTAATGTAGATGCCTTTGTAAACTAATGACTGTAACCTCATGTTAAGAAACAATTATAAATACACAACCATTGATGAATAAAGAAAAATATCCTAATTTTCTTTTTCTTTTGTTTTTTACAACAGCTCACTCCCACCGAGGTAGGGCAACAAAGAAAAAAAAAAGAAACACATTTACCATCATTCATTCAAGTGCCATGCCAGATGTGAGCTGACACCACAATTCAGATGATCCTCCAAATTACACCATCACCCCTCTTTCAGAGTACAGGCACTGTGTTTCCCTCCTCCAGGACTCAAGTTCAGCTAACCAGTTTCCCAGAATCCATTCATAAGTGTTACCTTCTTCACACTCCAATATCATTTTAAATCATAAAAACTGCTTGTCACTACTCATTCTGATCTTACACGCTCACATAATACTGCTGGATGTTCAAGCCCCTCAAACTCGAAAGCTCCTTTACCCTGTCCCTCCAACTCCTTCTGGACAACCCTTACCCCACTTTCCCTTGACCTCATATTTATATACCCTCTAGGATATCTTATTCTGCACTATCATTTCTGAATTCCCAAATCACCTCAACAACCTTTATGTTTGGTATCCCCACATTGTCTTCTAATCTCAAAGCTCCTAATTATGTATAATATTCACATCACACATTGACCTCAAACATAACATTTCCACTGCCTCCAAGCACTATGACCTTTACAGGTTCCTTGTTTAAATTTATTATATAATTTTTTTTTATTTAACCCTTTCAGGGTCCAGACCCCCAATCTGAAATCTGCCCACAGAGTCCAAGAATTTAAAAAAAAAAAAAAAATTCTTATGCAATGGTAGAAAATCTTTTTATGGGGGTAATAAAAAAAAAAGTACAAAATGTGATGTAAGACTGACAAAATTATCCTATCATGAGTTTTGGTGCATCAGTGATATTTACGCATCAGCGATTTTGCTCAGTGCCCCCCCATTTTAGGCAAATTACATAATTCCAGTCAACCAAATTCTTATCTATTTTGCTAGTGTTACTTCTATTTTATTGAGTGAGCACAAGAAACTGCCCAATCAACTATTTCAACTACCCAACAAAGTGATCAGAAATTGGTAATTTGGCCAATTTCACACAAAATTTAAAATATTCCAATTTCAAAATAGGGTCCAGAATAAACAATGCAGGCATTCCTGGCACTAATATAACATTTCCTCTACTTATTAGTTACGTTTACAGATGAATTACATTTTTATTTTTTATTCACATAATGAATTTTTATTCACACCAAAAAATAGAAGATTTACTCTTATGCAATATTGTAATAATTGTATAAATAATATCAGTGCATTCGTGAACGTACATGTATATCATTTGTTTACTTTTGAACATCAGCAAAAATCGAACATTTCTGCTACTTTGAGCTCAGTTTCACCTTATTTTCAGTACTAAAACCAATCAAAATCATCTCAATTTCTGTAATATATCTTCCATTCTATCAAATGAGACCAAGAAACCACAAATACAACAGTAAAAGCCACATGAAAATACACCACAAAGTTGTTGTTTTAATCCAAAAAAACAGTCAGTTTTTTCCTCATTATGCACTATGTGCTACAGGATATGTTTTATATGGTGCACACTTACCACATAGATCCATTCTATCATATCTAGGCCCGAATTTACAGCTCACAGTTTATGTGAGTGAGTTGAGCTCATGGCATTTCTAGAACTACAGCTTGGACTCTGGCTTCAAAGCTGTAGAACTATGGGGTGGACCCTCAAAGGGCTAACACCTCGGCCTTCTCCCACCTTCTCCCTTCTTCCTCAAAAAGGAAGAAACACTTTTATGATCACTCACTCCATCACTTGTCAGAGAAGTGCAGATATTACATCTCAGATGCTCCTCCAAACTGCAATATCTCCACCCATCCTTCAGAGTACAGACAGTGCTTCCCACCTTCAGGACTTTAAGTCTGGCTTACTGGCTTTTCCCTGAATCCCTTCATAAATGTTACTTTGCTCACACTCCAACAGCATGTTGTCATAAAAAACACTTGCCTCCACTCACTCCTATTTAACACTCAACATGCCTGACGGATAACCAAGACCCTTGCAAACAAAACTTCCTTTACCCCCTCCCTCCAACCTTTCCTAGGACAACCCTTATCTTGCCTTCCCTTCAACCCCACCCTGCCTTCCCTCCACTACAGATTTAAACAACCCCCAGGTCATCCTATTTTGCTCCATCCTCTCCAAATATCCAAACCATCTCAATATCCCCTCCTCAGTCCTTTGGATAATGCTTTTAGTAACCCTGCACCTCCTCCTAACCTCCAAATTACGAAGTCTCTGTATAATATTCACACCTCACATTGCCCTTAGACACAATATTTCCACTGCTTCCAGCCTCTTCCTCACTACAACATTTCAAACCCTACTTCACACCCATGTAAGTGTTGATACCACTATACTTCAATACATTTCCTTCTTTGCTTCCATGAATAATGTTCTTTGTCTCCAAAGATGCCTCAATGCATCACCCATCTTTTTTCCTTCATCTTTTCTATGGCTCACCTCATCTTTCATAAACCCATTCTCCAACAAGTTCACTCCCAAATATCTGAACACCTTCACTTCTCCATACTCTCTCCTTCCAATTTGATATCCATCTTTCATTAAGTATTTTTTTTGTTCCTCTCATCACCTAGCTTTTTCCTATGTTCACTATTAATTTCCCTCTTTCACATACCTACCCAAATTCACCCACCAACCTTTGCAATTTCTCTTCATAATCTCCCAAAAGCACCATGTCACAGATAAAAATTAACTAACAACTCCTACTCTGTATTAGATTCTTTGTCTTTCAATCTCACACCTCTCCCCAATATTCTAGGATTCACTTTTTTCACAACCCCCATCTAAAAATATGTTAAACAACCATGGTGACATCATGCATCCCTTTCTAAGGCCCACTTTTACTGGAATATAATTTCCCTCTCCCCTACATATCCTAATCTGAGCCTCACTATCCACATAAAATAATCTTAACTGCTTTAAGTAACCTACCACCTACGTATTTCATACACTTGCAACATGTCGCATTGCCCCCATATCCACCCTATCATATGCCTTTTCTAAATTTAACTTTTTCAACATTATTATTTTTTTTTATTAACACATCGGCCGTTTCCCACCTAGGCAGGATGGCCCGAAAAAGAAAAACTTTCATCATCACTTACTCCATCACTTCTTGCCAGAGGCATGCTTACACTACAGTTGTAAAACGGCAACATTAACACCCTTCAGAGCACCAGCACTGTACTTCCCATCTCCAGGAATCAAGTCCACCTTGCCGGTTTCCTTGAATCCCTTCATAAATGTTATCTTGCTTACACTCCAACAGCACGTCAAGTCCTAAAAACCATTTGTCTCCATTTGCTCCAATCTAACACACTCACACATGCTTGCTGGAAGTCCAAGCCCCTCGCACACAAAACCTCCTTTACCCCTTCCCTCCCTCCAACTTTTCCTAGGCCAACCCATACCCTGCCTTCCCTCCACTACAGATTTATACACTCTCGACGTCATTCTATTTCGTTCCATCCTCTCTACATGTCCAAACCATCTCAATAACCCCTCCTCAGACCTCTGGATAATAGTTTTGGTAACCCCACACCTCCTCCTAATCTCCAAACTTCGCATTCTCTGCATTATATTCACAACACACATTGCCCTCAGATATGATATCTCCACTGCCTCCAGCCTTCTCCTTGTTGCAACATTCACAACCCATGCCTCACACCCATATAAAAGCATTGGTATAACTATACTCTCATACATTCCCCTCCTTGCTTTCTTGAATAAAGTTCTTTGTCTCCAAGACTCCTAAGTGCTCCACTCGCCATTTTCCCCTCGTCAATTCTATGAATCACCTCATCCTTCATAGACCCATCTGCTGACACGTCCACTCCTAAATATCCTAACACATTCACCTCCTCCATACTCTCTCCCCCCCCCCCAATTTGATATCCAATCTTCCGTTATCTAATTTTTTTATCCTCATCACCTCACCCTTTGCTATATTCACTTGTAATTTCCTTCTTTTACATACCCTACCAAACTTATCAACCAACCTCTGCCACTTCTCTTCAGAATCTCCCAAAAGCACAGTGTCATCAGCAAAGAGTAACTGTGACAACTCACACTTTGTGTTAAATTATTTATCTTTTAACCCCACACCTCTTGCCAACACCCAAGCATTTACTTCTCTTACAACTCCATCTAAAATACATAAGAAAGAAGGAACACTGCCACAGGCCTACTGGCCCAAGTGAAGCAGGTCCAATTCTCCTACTGGCTTAAGCCAGTGACCTAACTTAGTCCAGTCAGGTCACATTCACTTAACCATTAAACTGTCCAAACATACATCTACATTTTCACTGCTAGCAGCTCAGAATATATTTTGAAAAATAATTTTTTTTTTTAATTACTAAATTACTAAATTGAAGAGGGCAATTTTCTGTGTGTTATAAGACCAAGAAAAATATTTCAGGACTAGTACTTACCGAGATATAAGACCGCAAAGATGGTGTTAGATGCTCACCTGACAGCAACATCGATTCTTGCCGCTTGCAGAAGTGTTGCCAATATACCTTTATTTCTCGTTTTTATTTTAATTTATATATTTTTTTCTTTTTCAACAAGTCGGCTGTCTCCCAC